GCGGGGATCTTGCCTGCTGCCCCGCAGGGGCCGGCTCCGCGCTCCCAGCTGGGCAATTTGGCTAAAGTGTCGAAGGGTAGAAGACTAGGTTTGTGTGTTCGAGAAGGGCTTCTTTCCTCTAGGTCGCCGGTGTTTAAAAAGGGGAAAGACCAGAGGCCTTCCGCTTCCTGTGTAGGTACCGAAAGGGAGGCAGGAAACGGGCTTAAAGAAAAAAAAAGGAAGTGCTGTCAGTGCAAGCCTCAGCCCTTTAGCAGTTTTGAGGGGGTTTTTTTTTATGGAAGTGGAGGCCAGATCGGCAGTGCATAATTTACTTTTTGTTCTGCATACCGAGAATTTGGCCCATGGGCGGTTCCGCAGACACCAGCATGTTCCATTGAATGATCTTGGAACATCTAGGACCCCTCAAGGGGGCCGAGTGTTAAAATTCTACTGACCTTGGGGGAAGTTAACCAGTTTTGGCGCCTCTCTCCCCCCCGTTTTAAAATTTTTTAAATTCCTCACCCGAGGATATGTTTTCCTTTTTATTTTATTGATTTTAGAGAGAGAGATGGAGAGAGAGAGAGAAACGTGAATGTGAGAAACATCGGTTGTTTCTCCTACGCCCCCGGGGATCGAACCCTCAACCTGGGTATGTGCTGGGACCGGAATCCAACCCAAACCCTTCGGTGCATGGACGCTCCAACCAACTGAGCCACACCGGCCAGGGTCCCCGTTTTTTTCCTTATGTGCAGATTACAGATAATGTTGGTCTTTGAGATTCTAAAATGCAAATAATTGTAAAAATCTGAGTAAAACACTGATTAAGATTATTAGAAAGCTGTTTCTTTCAACTCCCCCTCCTTTGAAAAATGTATTTTGATCAGCCAAGTCAGCAAGTCAGAAATGTTACTTGTTTTGGATGAGTTCCATAATGATAATTTTCTCCTACATTACAGTGATGTCTAACCATTTTGGAGTTGTATGTTTTGTGACTTTTCTCCCCCTTCTTCCATAAATGTGACATATGAATTAAAAAAGACTTTACTCGAACTTTAAAACACTTTGCAGACTGGATTGTTGAGGGGGGAAAGACCTAATATTCACTGCCATAATACTTCCCTAAACTTTAAGCTTTATCTGAACTTAGTTAAAAATGGTCTTGAATAATAAGGATGTTATCATATAATGGATTATTTTTTAAAAAAGAGGCAGATCTGTTATATAAAGTTGTCTTAAGATTTATTAAGTTAAAAATGACTCGTGTATGCTTTATTAAAGATATCTGTATGCTCACAAACTTGTATGTGTATATGAAAGTTTTGGAGGGATACATAAGAAATGTTCATACTGGTTACTTGTGAGAATAGGGATAACGGAATGAGGGAAAATGAGGACTTCATGACTCTTGAATAATGGGAAAAATGTTCTTTGTTTTTTTAACAAGACATGTACTATAAAATTATCTTTAAAGAAACTATAAACATTTATTACTTTTACAGTTATAACTCAGTTAAAGGTACTTTAAAAAAGATATTAGTCTCAAATTTACCTCTAAATAAATTTAAAGCTTTAAAAATTGAATTTAAAACATTTTGTTTTGTGAATGTGCCAGATATTTAGAAACCTGAGCCAGTTGTGTTTTGATAGATTCCTGTTCTTTGAAGGGTAACGAGCCCTGTATTTGTAATGAGATTTGTGATATTCAATTAGAATAGGAATGTTAACCATGAGCTCATTTAAAACAATTTTTTTAAATTGGCTTTAGAGAGAGGAAGGGGGAAGAGGGAGAGAGAGGGAGGGGAGGGAGGGGGGAAGAGAGAGAGAGAGAAAAGAGAGAAAGAAACAGAAACATGAATGGGCTCCCTCTTGCACTCACCCTGACCAGGGGTGAAACCAGCAGCCTGGGTATGTGCCCTCACCAGGGATTGAACTCACCACCTTTTGGTGTATGGGACGTCACTCCAACCAGCTGAGCTCCACTGGCCAGGGCCATGAGCTCATTTTTATGTTACTATTTCATTAGTTTAGTTATGTTAGGAAGCTGATTGTATATTATCTATTAGTCATATTCTAATTCATAATTTAAGAATCTTGTTCTTCAAGACAAAAAAATCAGTCCTATTCCATATATAGGAAAAAGGGTAGCTAGTTCAAGCAAAAATGTATTTGGTGTTACATTTCTTATTTTTAAATTTTAGTTAGATTTTCTATAGATATAATCGACTTCAAATGAAGAAACAGTTCTGATACAATATGTAGTCAGGAATGCTGTGATATATCTGAAAATTTAGAGGAATAGAAACCACTTAGATTGTATATTCTATTTTATAGTCGTCTTGATTTTATTTAGTTACCCGAAGGTATAATGAATGATTCTTTTACAGTTAAATATTAAACAAGATATTAAAATTTAATTTCTAAAAAGTTGTGGGAATAGTTGTTACCCTAAAGCAACTTGCCTCTTACACGTTTGTTTTAGGTTTTAAAATTTTAATTATAGGCAATTTGAGAAGTTGATGACTTTTTTTTTTAGCTCCTCTGGCAGGCGAATGCTTTAAGAGCAGGTGAGTTCTTATGATCACATGCCAGATGTTGGTCCTTGTTCTGCTTCCTCACTAGCCCCTAACCAGTTTCTCATCAGGGCAGCCTAGAGGAGGAAAACTCATCCAGTTCCAATAATTTATTTGCTTTATCCTCATAACTGTTCAAACCTACCACTTAAAATAGAGCCACTGGAAGTGGACAGATAGGGGAAAATCTGGAATCTTCTAAGGTTAAGGTGCCTTTCAGGAGCTCTGCCCAGGCCCCTGGTGTTGTGTATTCTGCTACCAAACTTGAGTAATTTCATCAGCAGTGAGTTATGTTTCATCACCAACAATGAAGACAACGGCCTACTGTGTGACTGGTAGTTTTTAGGGTCTAGTGTAATGCTAGGATAATTATATTTTCATTTAGAATTCACATTTGTAGTTGGGTATGGCCTGCTTTATCAGGCTTTTGCTAATTTATTTTGTTGAATTTAGAAGTGTTTGGAATAGAAATAAATCAAAAACAAATTTGGTTTTACCCTGCAAAATGCTTTGGAATAAATAGAATGAATATTTTGGCCGTGTAAGATCAGGATAATCGCTATACAATTAAGTTAATACATCAGTACCATTACATAAAATTAATAAAGGAAAAATACAAATATGATAAGCCCAAGTAAAGCTTTATAAATTTGTTTATTTTTTGAGAGGAGAAAGAATCTTTTAGAGGAAATGTAGAGGAACTTTTTTTTCTTTCATTTTTGCTTGAAAGAACATTATACCGTTCATGTTCTTACCATTTGATGACTCAGTGGGAAGTAAGGGAGCCAGTTTAAACCACAGTGCTATGAAGAGGAAACTATATATGGTAAAAAGCTATTTCTTAAACACAGACGTATTGCACTCAATGAGAGAACTAAGTCTCCAAGTCTTAAAATGATTGAAGTGGGGGAGGAATTTCAAGGTTTAAATGATACCAAATGAGTAGTTTAGAAAAAAATATTTTTTTTGCATTTTATCACATCATGGTTTAGATGTAGATTTTTTAAAATATTGACTTTTTTTGCAAGAAAGGAAATGCCAGATTGTCTATTTTATTATTGTCTAGTTTATGTTATTGAGAAATAGGTTTTATATTATTGAAAAATAGCTTATATTGAGAATATAATTTTAATCATATTCTTGTTATTATAGCTGTCATTGTTTTCACATTAAATAATGTGAAATAGTGCAGTTATTGCCATTTTAACCGAGTTATCTAATACCCTATAGGAATGCTAGCACTAGATTACTATGGCAGCAAATGCTTCCAATAAACTACTTAAGCAGAATAATCTCCTTAACAAGTGAATGATACCTTTAATTTGAGTTAAAGCCACATTTCCCTTTTTTGTAAAGCACAGGAATAGTAGGTTTGCAATTGTTTTTGTAGTTTTGTGGTGGGAGGTGGTGGTACATTTTTGTCCTATCTCAGGCACTTTGGCAAACATTTTGTCCCTTGAAATATTCTCAGATAAGAATTTTAATATATGAACTACTCATCAGAACAATTATAATCAGAAAACACTGAGTGATGTGATTGTTTATAGATTTGCCATGTTGCATGTTTCTGAATGTGAGGCCTGATCTGAATGAGAGGAGAGGCATGTCAACCTTCCTAACCTCCTCCCTGTACCAGGGCTTGACTTATGCCCCTATCCAAAGCTCTTCCTCCCACCTTCAACTTCTATTATGGTTTCTCACTTAAATCATTTGTTTACATTTAATATGCTGAAAATGGCCCTTAGAGACTTATTGATTCTTTTTTCAGTTGTTCATTTTATAGTTTTCCTTAATAACATACTTATATAAGTGAGCATTTTTAGTCTGGAGTATGGACACTTTTGACACACCCACTGTCCATAATCTGTTCATTACTTTGAGGTAAACATAAGAACTTAATGTCTACATAGTATTTACTTTCTATTTTTGGAATATATGTGTAAATTATGACTAATATTTATATTAGTCTGGTGATCATGGCAGATTTTATTTATGTAGAAATTTCAGTATGGCCAGGATAGTAACAAGAGTCTCTATCCTTCCATGTCATTTCAGTTCATATCAAGTGAGCTAGATTTTGACTTAGTTCCATTCCAATCCGGGCAGTGCCCAGCATGGTCCTGGCAGGGATGGGGAGTCCCTCATCTTCATCAGAAAGCAGTGAAGACAAAGGAACTGTGCTCACCACCAGAAACAGAGGGCAGTGATGCCAAATGCCAAAGAAGCAGATTAAAACAAAGCCTCAAGTCCACTCACCTCTAACTCATCTTCAAAAGCCTATTCCTAACATATTGCAACTGGCCTGAACACTTTGCCAGAGCTCCTCCATGTACACCAGAAGTCCAAATTCTAGAGTGGGGAGGGGCAGTATGCAGGAGAGGTTACCTAAAAGTTCCCAAATTTAGGCCCCACAGAGAAGTAAAACACTTCACTGGTGGATATCAGATTTCCAGAACTCTCTCCTCCTTCCACCGGGACCACAAAGCACCAAGAAGCAGTGGTGACAGTATGTCAAAAGATGGAGCCCTGGTCGGCTGAGAGGCCATAACTTGTATTTCTGTGCTGCCAAAAGGCAGCAGCTAAAGGTGAAACATTTCTCAGCAGCCTCCCTGCTAACTTTCCCTCCCCTACCCTGAAGTTTTTAATTGCATTTTTCTTGCAATGTCTGCTCTTAAGAATAAGACTGAACAGACTGTATTATTGGTATAAGAATTGAGAAACCCTTGATTCTATTTTTGGTTTTACTGTAGTTGTTAAATATCCTAGTTAAATCTTCTAGTATATCAGTTTCTTATGCATAAATAGAAGTATCATTAGAATCAATAATGATATGCCCTCATTGGAGAAGTACACTATCTGAATATGAAAATATGTTACCTGGATTACTAAATACATATATCTAAATATAAAACTAAATACCCCAAAATGCCTAATAAATGTTTGTTTTAACATGATGCTAGTCCAAACTCCATTTGATTTTTCCCATTTTGGAAAATGAAGGTGCTTAAGTGGATTGCCAGAGATGAATGCAAGCATGCTTTAGAATTAAAACTTTAGCTCTGTTTATTTTCTAACATCTCTTTTAAAAATACTTAGTATTTGTTGAGTGAATTTGTCCATTCCCAAATACTTTTTTTGAAAAGAATATTTTAAGTTTTTGAGAGAGAGAAAGGGAGGGGGGAGAGAGAGAGAAACATCGATGTGAGAGTGAAACTTTGGCTGCCTCCTGCATGTCCCCTACCTAGGATCAAGCCTGCAACCCAAGCATGTGCCCTGACTGGGAATCGAACTGGCAATCTTTTGGTGCATGGGACGACGCCCAGCCAACTGAGCCACACTGGCCAGGGCCCAAATACTTCTCGTGTGACCACTGTGTGTCAGGACCTCTTTGAGGCATCAGGATCCAGCATGAACTGCTCAGCTGAGCTCCCTGCTCTCCTGAGGCTTTCCCTGTAGTAGGGGTACTTAGGCACTAAATAAGCAGTTTATCGGTAAATAAACATGAACTCTGGTAGTAGTCATTGCCATAAAGGAAATAAAATGAGATACAAATTGGATGACGAGTTTGGGTATTTTGAAAGCACCAAAAGTTTAAAATATTGTATAAATGCAAAGTGATACTTTTCAGATGCTGTTTTCAAATGAATATAGTAAATACCTTGACTAACCCGTTTTTACTATTCTCTTCCAGTTTGTGAAGTGTGGATATGCAGGCTCTAACTTTCCAGAACACATCTTCCCAGCTTTGGTTGGAAGACCTATTATCAGATCAACCACCAAAGTGGGAAACATTGAAATCAAGGTAATATTTTATTTATTGATAAATGAGGGTCAAAACCTGTGAGATGTTCTTTGAATTAAGTAGTTTTAAAATATGATGCAATGAAAAGCAAAGGGGGAGGGCAGAATTCTTATATTTTTAATTTATGTAAACACCTGAAGAAAGGCACAAAAACTGAAGTTAATTTTATTTGACTTTAAGTATGGCTTGATGCCATTACTCGCTGAATGGAGTAAAATACTTAAGATTTTTATATGAATGTGAATTGTAATTTTTAAAGAAATCAGCTTGGCATTTTTATGTTTTTCAATTCCATATATTTGTCATTATATCTGTTAGTGTTCCGTTGGGACCTTAGACTTTTCCTTTTCATGTTCTCATGGCCTGATTCCCCCTATTTTTTTATATAGTTAGTCAGGAAAACACAGGATTAAATCTTACTGTTTTCTCTTTTCACTAATGTAGTAACTGATTTTCATAATGTGCAGGGGGAAGCATGCAAGTCTTTATTTGGCCTTGCATTATTATCAGAAAGGGAGAAGAGGGAAGGTTATCATTGCTTACTTACTGTACTTGACACGAGAGACTCAACATTAAGGATGATAGATTTTTCTCCCATATTAAAGGGATTGGAAATCAAGTGGGAATTAACGATATTTTAGAAGAAAAAAGAGAACAGATCAGTCAAAAGGACTTTTGTCACCAATTGACTTAAATTCTGTGGGTGGCTTAGCGGTCAGGTTGGTAGAATTTAAGGGCTCTTTCGCTGAATTATGTGTGAACAAGCTAGCATTGTTGATCCTATCTGGACAGTCTTTGTTTGGTAAGACTTCAGTGAACTGTTAGATCATAAGTCATTTGAAATACGAGTTAAGGTGAACCTCTTTGGGACACTTGTTCAAACTTTCTAGGAAGGTGATAATAGGTGGTAGAGATTTGCTACTTGGTAGCTCTCTGCTCTTGGAATTAGAGATGAATCAGCAGTGAATAAAAATACAAATTGAAACTTAGGTTCTGTGTTAATTTTTTAAAGATTTAAAATAGAGAATTATTCTGGCCTCTTGTTATTTTATAGATAATCAAATGGGATACTCAATATGAGTTTTTATTTTATGATCTTTTGGGAAATTTATGGGATTTCTTACTCTCTTTGTGAACTTTTCGTCCTGATTGAGTTCAATCTTAAATGAACTTTGACTTAAAATTTAGTTAACAATAGTGGTAAGGATAAACTTTTTAAATGGAGTTGAAAGTTTTACTTTTTGTTCAGTATCAGGCTTTTAAAGAAGAATATTTTTTTGATGTACTTTATGGACATTAACATTTTTGAGGTATTAAGGTAGATCACATTGCCATTTTTATTCTTCAACATAGGCACAAAAAATTACATATCTTTTAACTCCCACTTTCTTGCTTTTTAAGGCCAAGTGATAGAAATGAAAGTAGTCAATATACTAATGAGATGTTTTTTACTAAGGAATTCCCCAGTAGCATTGTTTGTATGGTTTGTTATTCTGTGTTCCGTTGGCTCAGCTCTGTTCAGTCTGCTTAGTCTTTTTAAGTCTTTCAAGTTAAATTGTTCTTCCAGTAGAAAACAGAGAGGCCTGTCAAATTTAACTTGACCGCTAGAGCTTGGAAAAACAACCCTAACCGTACCTCTGCTTACACAGCTAGACCTTTCCTGTTATCATTTATTTTCTGTAATTAAGGTTCTTAAATTCAGTAATGAATTTAAAGAAACTTGACTTTTTGGAATTCCTCTGTCTAGTGATTGACTTATACTTCTTGTGTCTTGTTAGCTAAAATGTGGTAGACAAAAAAAAACAAAACTGGAAATTTAAATTGTTTAATGAGTTAATTTTCATTCAGGAGTAATAACTGTCCATGTTAATTTGGCCCTAAGTATTAACTCTGTAAAATATAGTAGTACTGCATCTGACCTCAACCTAATTTTTCTCTATTGCTTGTATGTTTAAAAATTTCAGTGAGGATTTTATTTAGGCCTTTTCTGACTCTTACTTCTACCTTCTCTCTCTTCACCTTTCTTGACCTGTTGAAGTAGAATAACAAAAAGATGGTAAGTGAGGTTACACACATGCTCTCTGTTTGTTTTCCACTTTTGCTTGGTGGGACAGTAGTTGTTGTTTTGTGTCCCTTTAGTATTGGGGAGGGGGGTATTTCCATATTTTAATTTTAAGTACTTCGACCCTGTGCTTTCCTGATTGCGTACAATGGACCAAACCAGAACTGATTACTAACATAGTTTGAATTGTTTTCCTTGTGTTTCTTATAGATGAATGTTATAATTAAAATGGAATGTGGTGTGCATATTATTAGAAAACAAGTGGCTTTTTATAGGATATGTGTGATCCAGAAGATTGGGGTGAAGTTGTTACATTTGGATAAATTCACTATATTGCCCATGGTTAAATTGAACATTACCTGTCATAGCCTGTATATATATTTGCATCCAGTACAGTATCATATGTTTTTAATAAACAGTAAAATTTAAATATGCAAATGAAATAGATAGTAAAGGGGGGAGAATTTCCTATACTATCCTTATTGATGAGCAGATTTTACAAGATTACCTGAAGATAAATAAGAAAAAGGTGAAAGTCTTATAAGACTTTTCCATAAACAACAGATTCCTCCCCTAAGTAAATGTCGCGTCTTTTTCTTTTGAACTAGAAGCTTACTGGGTGCATCCCAGACAATTTACTCTCATATTTTTCTGTGATAGTGTAAGTACTTCTATAGTAGATTATTTTTAAATTTGTTTTTTAATATTGTTTGTAAACAGCTTTGACAAAGATGAATAGCAGGTATTTCTAGTGATAATATATTTTAACTAGTAACAGTAACTTTGTGGAGTTTTCTTTTGAATAAGCAAAAACATTGAAAAACGGAAATTCCTATCGTTATCCTAAATAAAAGATCATGCCTTTGTCTTAAAATCCTAAGGAAATTTGAGAGTCTACTTGTAGAGAACAGTGTAGACTTAATTTCAATGTTTTTTAAGGAAATTCCTTCTAGGAATTTCATTGTGCTTTTAAAGTGTGTTTGCTCTATTTTTCAGTTTTAGGTGACATCGTTCAAATGATTCTTGGCAAATATCTATACTGCTTGCTTTTCATAATATATAAATGCTTTTGAAACAGCATCTCAAAACAGTTATTGTAGTTTTTAATTCTTTCAGGTAATAGGTAATGGTTTAGGCTTAAGGTCTATTGATGAGGTGGGTGGTAAAAATCTAAGGCCTGATTTGATCGCTTATAGCTTGGTTCTGAGATATGAGGGCAAGCTTGCTTCATAAAACGCTTAAAATTTTTGTTTTTGGAAGTTGAAATGTTCTAAGGAACAGTATATGTTTTAGGATTTAAAAAATTAAAAAAATATATCTTTATTGATTTCAGAGAGAGGAAGGAAGAGGGAGAGAGAAAGAAACATCAATGATGAGAGAGTCATTGATTGGCTCCCTCCTACATGCCTCTGACTGGGGATCTAGCCCACAACCTGGGCATGTGCCCTGACCGGGAAACAAACCACGATCTCCTGGATCCTAGGTTGATGCTCAACTACTGAGCCATGCCCAGCTGGTCTGTTTTAGGATTTTTTTAATTACAGTTTTAGATACGGATAAATTTAGGTAGCTTGAGCTACTCAGATTTTGAACTAACCTAATAAGTTAAAACTTATTTTCTTCCATTTTAAATGTCGTCTTTGTTGAGAGGGATGGTAAGATACTCAATGCCAGACATTTCTTTCAGTTAGTCCTTTAGAGTACGTGTGGCCTAGAAATAAATATATGAGGCTTTTATTTTTAGTTGGCGTTGGGTCAGACGTACATAAGCCTGTATTCTTGCATGGAATAAAAATTAATACTCTAATTAAATTTGTTGAAATGTAATTGTGAATGCATATTGATTTATGTAAACCATCTAATTATCTAATGTATTACTTTGTAACAACGCAAAGAAAGATATATCTTAAAGGAAAGTAAGTAACAAAATTGTGTATTAAATTATATTTGTTAATGGCCAAAAGTAATACATGCACTTGCAGGTATAGGTGTCACCCTTAACATTTTATTAAGAAGTGTTTAAAATATGCAGCAAAGTTGAAAGAATTTATAGTAAAACTCATAGACCCATCACTTACTTAGATTCTGACATTAATATTTGCTATATTGATGTATCACATATTTATCCATCTATCCATCCATCAGTCTGTCTTGTTATTTGATGTATTTCAAAGTATCAGTATACTTCTCCCTGAATAATTCAACATACGCATGTAATTAAATAGAGCTCACAAATACAGTTTTAGTTTTGCATTTTCCTATCAGATGATTCTAAATAGTTAATATTAAAGAAGTTTGAAAATTAAGTTGTTAAATTAACTTTATGAAAAACTAGTTGCAACACAGAAGGTTTAGAGAACATTTCTAGCATCTGCTTTAACTTTCCCACCCTTTCTGTTGTTGCTTCAGTGGATTGTACAGAAACCCTTTCTTAAAAAATAGAGTCCTCACCATGGTTTTCTCTCTGATCTTTAAAAAAAAGAAAAAAGTTACTTTTAAAAGTTTTCAACTCATATATGTTTAAACCCTTTTAAATATATCTTACGTTAATTTTGCTGTTCCTTTTATTTTCCCCATGTTTTAAACTTAAGGTGTTGTAGAAGATAGTTGCTATGTCTGATGCTAGTTTTTAAAAAATTCATCAGTACATGTAGAAATTAGGATTATTTGATATCTTGATTAGTTGATTTCTAAAGTAAGTTTAAGTTCTAGGACATCATTAGCTTTATTATACATACAAAATTTGGCTTTTCAAATGTGGGTCATCTTAAGTATGCTCTCATTGGAGACAAGACTTGTGAGTATTCTGTTTCGTGTGTCATAGTTTTCTAGTCTTACACCTTAAGATAAAAAATGTTGCTCATGAGATAATTTTAAAGAATTGTTTCCCTGTGTCTTTTTATATCTCTACAGATTTTCATTCCTCTTGATGAGGCATGTGTAGAAACTTAGTTTTATTTCTAGTCCAGATATTTAGATAGAAGTTTGTGAAATTATTGTAGTTTAGTAAAGAATCCTGGGTTTTTTTGCTTCTTTCATTATGCTTTATAATATCATTTTGATATTTAGTAGAAAGAAATGTGCTGCATGCATTGAGCATTTTTCTGCTAGTTTTTCCCCCCTGATGTGCTATTTCACATATCACAGGCCTTATTTTTTTGAAAATTTGAGCAAAAGAAACAGATGAAACCTCATACAAAACCCTCCAAAATATGAAAATGTGGGGTTTATTTGTGCTAATGCCCTTCTTTTGGAAACATATGTATTAAAGGTAAGGTGAACTTATTGATTTAAACCACATTGTATATAAAAATGTATTAAACTTCACAAGGCATTGTTCTTGAAAGAAAAAATTTTTAACTTGTGGAATGAAATACTTGACCTGAAAGTACCAGAACGATTAAAATTAATTATCCCCAAATTTAATCAAAATATGGGAATATAAGTTTCTGAAGGCATTTTATGCAAAATTTGGTTTGAAACTTCGATATTATACTTTTCTAGGATCTTATGGTTGGTGACGAGGCAAGTGAATTACGCTCAATGTTGGAAGTTAACTACCCTATGGAAAATGGCATAGTACGAAATTGGGATGACATGAAACACCTGTGGGACTATACATTTGGACCAGAGAAACTTAACATAGATACGAGAAATTGTAAGATCTTACTCACAGAACCCCCTATGAACCCAACCAAAAACAGAGAGAAGATTGTAGAGGTAAGGTTTTAGATGGGATGTGCATGTATATGCTTCTTTCTTTTCCCCCCTGAAAATGTTCTTTCTTTTATGTTACCGTTATTAAGGATAAAGGGAATAAAAATAATTGTTGTTTTCCCCCAGAACCTATTTACTGAGCACGTAACTGTATGCTAATCAGTATTCCTAAGTAGGCTATATCGGTAAACGAAACAAAAATCCTGCCACCATGGAGCTTCCATTCTAGAAGGGAAAAACAGCCCCCAAAAGTGACTTAATTGAATGGTTAGTTAGAAGATAGTAGATGCTAAAAGGGGATAAAGAGCAGGTTAAGGGATAACGGGGAGTGGGGGAGGGTTGAATTTATACATAGGGTGTGGTAGTGGTCCTGTGTGAGAAGGTGATGTTTTAACAAAGAGTGAGGGAGTTAGCCAGGATTTATGGGAAGAGCATTTCAGCCAAAGGGAGGAGCCAGAGTAACGACCTTAAACAAGTGCAAGCCTGGCACATTAAGAGTCAGCAAGGAAGCCAGAGTGGAGAGCAACAGGAGATGAGGTCAAAGAAGTAACAGGGCCAAATCATCTAGGGCCTTGTAGGCTGTTATAGGGAATTAGACTTCAAGTAAAATGAAGGGCTGTCACAGGGAAGGGACATGATCAGATTTAGGTTTTTGTGGCTGCTGTGTTGAGAGTAGATCATAAGGAGGCAAGGGTGGAAGAGAGACCAGTTTGGAGACTTTATCAACTAGTCAAAAGATAATCATTAGGATTAGGGGTAATAGCAGTAAAAGTAATGAGAAGTGGCCAGATCGTGGGTCTGTTTTGAAGGTAGGGCCAAGAATTTTCTGATGCATTAGATATGAGTAAGATGGAATGACTTCAAAGGTTTTGACATGAGCAACTGGAAGGATGTGTTAGAATCATAAGTTGGTGGGAAAAGACTGAGATAAGTAGAACAGGACTGGGGTGGGGGCACAGATGGACCAGGAATCCAGTCTTGGACATGTTAAGTTCTCATTGGACATCTAAGCAAAAATATCAAGTAGATTGTTATATATTTAAGATCAGGTTGACGAGAAAAGTGTGAGTCTGAGGATTTAAATTTGGGAGTCATCAAGATGTAATATGGCTCACCAAAGAAGTGAGAGTAGACAGTGGTTAGAGAGAGGGCTAAGGACCTGGGAAACAGGAGGACCTGTTGAAAGGAGATCGGAAAGGTTACTGAGGTAAGCAGTTGCAGAGAGTAAGACGTCTACATTTTTAGTAGTTTAGATAAGTGACTTTTCAGAGTTGTCTTTCATTTTGTTATATATGAGGTAGAAAGTTTTAATAACTATTTTAGTAGCTTTCAGTTACTAATTAATGTAAATATTTTGTATTATTCTGTGTCTGTATTTAGATGTTGGTGGAAATTTTGGAAGGGGTTTAGAAGAGATTATTGTTAGACAATATTTTTAAAGTCTAGATTAAAACTCAATTTTTGTATTAAGTGGTCTGACAATGTAAGATCATGGTTTTAGGTACAGAATCCACAACATTCCTTATGGTTTACAGTTTATTACTTTTTATCCTCCTAGCTACACCTAAAACTGAAACAGGAGCATGTGCCCTGACTGGGAATCGAACCCCGATCTCCTGGATCCTAGGTCGATGCTCAACTGCTGAGCCACACCTGGCGGGGCTAACTGATGAGTTTCAGAGTTGTAAAATTTAAATTCTATATAATTGTGATTACGGTCAGTTGTCAAATTTCTAAGTAGGTATATTCAGAGTGGTAGTTAGCCATGCTAGTCAAGGAATGCTCATTATAGATGACAGAAAAACTCCTGCACGATGTTTCCAGCCAACCTGGACTACAAGGAATGAGCATGGTTTTGACTAGAGAGGATACTAGGAAATTCCTTCTCCCTCCAGTGGAGCTACAGCCTTGGCTCAAGTAGGGAAGGCAGGCTCAGCAGCAGCTAGGCAGTTCTGTATCTCCCAACATTAAGGAATTGCTGCATTTATTTTGTTGTCTCCCTGCCCTATTTTACTACCACTTTTTTTTCCTTAAACTGCTAGAGATAGTTTGTCTTTGAATTAAAAGATATTTCCCTTAAGGGACATCAATTAATAAAGGCTGTTCAAATGCAGAAAGCTTTCTTTCACTCTAATTAGCCATTAACTAAAGCACTCAGCAACCTTTGCTCTTGTAGGACTTACGAAATGCTTGGGGACTCAGGGTGTATCCAAAGATCTTTCCCAAAACGGAATCTCTGTGAGAGCAGAAGTTAATCAAGGCGCAAAGAGCTGAAGAGAATGGAGGGCTCTTTGAGGCCTTTTGATTCTGTTTTGGCCAAAAACATAAGTAGAATATGTAACTTCAAAATACCAATATTTTTTTCTTTGCTTTTGCATTTTCAGGTAATGTTTGAAACTTACCAGTTTTCTGGCGTGTATGTAGCCATCCAAGCAGTTCTGACTTTGTATGCTCAAGGTAGGTGAAGTTTAGCTTTTAGGATAATTAATTCAGCAAACATTTACTATGTTTTATGTCAAAGGAACTTGATTTTTCAATAAGTTGTAAATCCCAGAAAAGCACAGTATGTATTTATTCAGGTATTTAAAAATATTTATTTAAATATTTTCAGTTTCTAAAATTTGTCAAATAAAATACATATATTTTAATTTCTAAGTGAAAAAAGATTTCTCAGTTTTTTAAGAAGTAGTAGGTTCCCTCTTTTAGATTATTTTGAGCTAAAAAACTTTTTTTATGCAGTGGAGAATGAACATGGAATTTGTCATCAGAATTGGCAGTTAAAAAAAAGCAAATTTAAAAAAATTAGTATAAAAACATGCGTGTCAGATACATAATATATATACAGGAGAAGGTAGACATTTGGGAGTACCTTCCTAACTTTTGATTTAATGGAGGGGCTTCTAATATTTTCTTGGAACTGCAATTAGTAACTGCTTCCCTATCTATTGGGAATAAAATATTGGTCATGTTGGGGAGAGCTCTTTATATTCTTATGGCCTCATTGAGAATTGTGGGACTGTCAGGTAGGTGCCACAGAGTCTGTTAGGCACTTGAAATGTAAAGATAACCTCAAGTCTCTCTGGAAAAAAGATATAGAAACAGATAATTTTGATTCAGCACATTAGAGTTTTCTGAAGGAGGTGACACATGAGCAAAGTCTCAAGCCCTAGTACTTAATGCAGCAGCGTGTATGACATAGTACTTAGAAAACACACTTTAATATTAAGGTGAGCCATTTGCTTCTACACGTGGATTAGTAAAAATCACCATGTAAAAATACATACTGGGTTTTTTAAAGCTGCCTTGAGTACACATGTAGATACTTAGAAAATACTTAGGGGAACTAAATGTGGCATGTACCTTACACTCTTGTGTAGAGGATATGGTGGTACGTAAGCTAGACATGGTCTTCTTGCCCTTAAAACGATTACTGTCCGGCTATTAGTAGTTTCTCTTTTGAAGAAGGAATCATAATTCACTTGTTACTTTACCAAGGAGTGATTGTCTGCATCTGGGTAATGTTTCATTAAAATAAAATAAATTTCATAATTGATTTTAGAAAGTACTTCGGAAAATAGATCTAAAAATTTTTGAATCTAAGCTTTGAAACTGGTGATAATAGTTCTATTTAGGAGGTGAGGATGGGACAGTTCTGCAAAATGAATTTTTGTTTGAATTGTACTTGAATAAAATTGACTTTAACAGATTTTTCTAGCAGTATTCATAAATTTATTTCCATCCAATGAGAAGGTATCCTCTCTTAATTCCTGATATTTAGCCATTTCTGTTTAACTATTGTATACTTAACTTGAGAAATGATAGTTTAATAATGTTAATCAAAAGAACTAAAGCCATAGTAAAGTTCTCCTTCTAAACAAGTTGGCTAGTGCTACTAGTTAAAAAAAGGTAGGAAAAGGCATTTAGAACCATGGACGATAGTGTTTTTTAATTGGTATTTGAGAGAGAGAGAGAGAGAGAGAGAAAGAAACATTAATTTGTTGTTCTACTTATTTATGCATTCATTGGTTGATTCTTGTATGTGACCTGACCGGGGATCAAACCTGCAACCTTGGCATGTAGGGATGATGCTGTAACCAACTGAGCTACCCAGCCAGGGCCCATGGAAGGTTTTTTGAATAAGAGAGGTGACAGTGATTTAGGGAGGTAATGTGTGATTGTATGGTACAGACAGGATTGAGGGGAATAACTGGAATTAGGGAATCTGGGCTAGAGATTAGAGTAGTCAGGGAAGGTATAAACAAAAAGGTAGGTATTGGATTGAGCCTTAAAAGACCCCACAGGAATCGAAGTAGGAAAAATAGATAATCTAGTGACAGGGTGTGGCATTGAAAATGGGTCATCTGTGTACAGGGAAACACCAGTATGTAAGCTGGTGGGAGTGGTAGAAAACAAAGTGAGGTGGTATGGGAAGGTCTATTTGGAAAATAAATGTAAATACCTGCTGTAGTTGATATTACTGGGAGTATTTTTGAATTATCAATGTTGTGAATACCTTTTTTTTAAATGGAAAGTTTTTTGTTTAAAAGAACGCAACATTAAAAGGCTACATGTGATTTTCATGAAGCTTATCAATCAAGGAACGATAAATTATGTCAGCTTCAGAAGGAGGTGGTTTGAATAAATGTATTCAGAGACAAATCATGACAATTACATAGTATAGTGCATTCAAGTTTGTATTAATAAGAAAGAGGGAGAGAGCCTATTCAGGAATGGAAAGATCATAAAGGAATGCTTAAGCACATTATAGATAATGCACATTCTGATTAAACTTTTTTTGTGTGTGGTTAAAATAGAAAATGTGAGTTAGAGAAAGGTTTTTTTTGAGGGGGATTCTCTGCCAAATTAACCCTGGTGCAAAAGGCAAAGCACTAACTTTTGCAGCTGTTTATATTTTTAAATAGCAAAAATGGGAAACAAGGCCTCTTCTTTGCTGTGCTTTTATTATAAGGTTTAATTAGCATTGTCTTTCTGGATTCTGGTGAATAATTGAGGTGATCTTTGATTAGCCAAGATTGCTTGTTCTCAGATTTCTAGCTATCTAATATCAACAGAATTTTTTCCAAACCAGCACAGTTTTGAATATACTATATGACAGAAATAATAAAGAACTAGATTGTTTCAACAGATTCACTGTCCACTTGTGTAGTATTTACCTTTCATAGTGCTTTCCATAAAAGTTATTCAAGATGCTTTAGAAAATTTTACTCCAAGGAAATTCAGGGATCAAGATTAGTTGGAAAGGAAAATAAAGAATTGCACTGAGCATGAAGAACATATGTTTTTCAGTCCTAGGTTTCAGGATCTGTTCCCATTTCTTGGGGTAATACATGTTTAGACTAAAAGTCTCATAAGAGACATGAGAGAATACTGACTTTAGTGTCTGTATTAGGAACATACTTCAAAATAAATAATTAAGAAATGCTGGCTTTTAGACCATTATTATTGGTAAAGTTTCTAGTTTGGCTTCTATACTAATACTTGAAATTTGGTGGCTTTGATCTGATTTGGTCTTACTGTATGTAAAACCTCATGCTTCTTACACACAGGTTTATTGACTGGAGTAGTGGTGGACTCTGGAGATGGTGTAACTCACATTTGCCCAGTTTATGAAGGCTTTTCTCTCCCTCACCTTACCAGAAGACTGGATATTGCTGGGAGGGATATTACCAGATATCTTATCAAGGTAAGCAAAAGAAAATGTTACAGAAATTAGGTTTTATAGTTTGTTTACTGACTTAATACAAAGTTGAATATCATCCTAGGATTCTAGCAAAGCTTCTGCATCACTAGAAAAATGGCCCAATTACCCCATTCATATAAAAATCCATATGAGATTTATAGACATGATCTCTGGTATACTAATGAGAATATATTATTTCATTACATAATTATATTTGCTATTTCTAAGGAAGGGGTAGGGAGGTATTTAAAAGATGGGGAGAGACCCTAAAACTGCCTTGAACTTAGGCAGCCTTTTCTGCCATAAAATTCTTCTTTGAACAGATATACATTAAAGCTATAATCTTGGTTGGGTTGACTGATCTTATCCTTCCCTACAGAATACACTGATAGCAAAGTAATGATACTTGATTAAAAACAGGGTCCAGTTGTGCCTGACTAATATTTAGTAGTTTTCATGGAATATGTCCAGTTTTCATTATTTACTATTTTAAAGTTTACTTCTAACGCTAATTAGTTATTATTTTCTTTAAAACATTGCTGGAGAAAGTATATGAGGCCACTATTTGAAAGCATGAGTATTTTTTTTAATGTTAAAAAATGGTTTAGAGCATTGCCTGTACTAGTTTATAGTTAGTATCTCTTCTCTGGGTAAGTGGCTCTCAACCAGGGATGATGCTGCCCTACAGGGATATTTTGCAATGTCTGGGGACATTTTTTGGATGTTATAACTTCAGGAATGCTATTAAACATCCTGGAATGACTAGGGCATGCTGGAATGAACAGCCCCCACAACAAAGAATTATAGTGTCCAAAATGTCATTTGCACTGTTGTTGAGAATCTCTGTTATACGGTGATGTCTGCACAACAAATTGGATTGCATTGAGTCTTCATCCTGACATTGAGTTCCATTAGTCTCAAATTAGAGTAATAGTGAGATTAAATTAATGCGAGTTGTTAGACACTTATTCTAGGCCAAAGTTCTGTCTTAGGGTAACCACCAAAGGAATTTCCAAGGGTGTTCTTCTGAACATAAACACAAAGTTTAGGGGATTTATTTTTTAGAGGTTTCTTTTTACATCTTTTCTTTAATTTTTTTTTAATTGATTTCAGAGAGAGGAAGGGAGAGAGAGATGGAAACATCAGTGATGAGAGAGAATCATTGATCTGCTGCCTCCTGCATGGCCCCCTACTGGGAATCAAGCCCAAGCCCGCAGCCCAGGCATGTGTCCTAACTGGGAATTGAACCATGACCTCCTGGTTCATAGGCTGGTGCTCAACCACTCAGCCACACTGGCAGGGCTAGAGTTTTTATATGAAAAATTTAGTTGTGTTTATGTGCATATTACGGGTTTTTTTTCTATCAGGTTGAAATCTTTTTGTTTGTTTAACACGCTATTGCCCATCAGACATTATACTACAAGTTAAGGATAAAATTTTCTAAGACCTACGGATATCATGAATATGGCATTGATTGAGCTAATTGCAGATAATAGGAATTTAGTACTAAAATAATGTTTATTAATAGACTTCTGATTGTTTATCAAAACTATCTAAACATTAATACTCTTAAAAAAACTAGCTTGTTTTATCCATTATTCATGAACTTTTGATTCTGTTACTCCTTGAAGCTTCTCTGTGAAACAGAAATATAAATTCTTCTCTGGCAAAGTAATATCCCTGTTTCTGATTCAGTAAAAGCTAAGGATCCACTGTCTATTACATTTGTTACTGATGTGACATATTTAGTGAGCAATAGTAGCTTTTGCAGAGTTGAGCTCATTCAGATTAATTGGGAATTTACTTCTTTTTTTGGTAACAGCTGCTTCTGTTGCGAGGATACGCATTCAACCATTCTGCAGATTTTGAAACAGTTCGCATGATTAAAGAAAAATTGTGTTACGTGGGGTATAATATTGAGCAAGAGCAGAAACTGGCGTTAGAAACCACAGTATTAGTTGAATCTTACACAGTAAGTATTTCCCGTGTATAATATATATGTGGTTTTAAAATGAACAACCATGATTATTGGTGTGTGCTTAAGGAGGTTTTTTTTGAATCTAGTTTCTTAATGAGATGTTGAAAACAAATGTGAACTTGAAATTGTAACTAATGAGACTTAGAACCTTGTGATAGCTTACACCAGGGGATTTGTTTCTACCTGAATTTTTAATGTATTGCTGTCTTAAGTCTATCATGTTCATCTGGATATCAGGTACTTCCAGATCTCATCTTTGATCTAGTTACAACTAAAATGAAAGTGAATAATAGACTTTAAGTAAAAGCATGTGTTCTTAAGCCATTTGATTCATGTAAGCTCTATATATCACAAATACATACAAAATAGTCATTTTAAAAATAATTATAAATTTGTATAAGTTATATTGTTGTTGTTTTTTAAATATGCCTTTATTGATTTTTAGGGAGAGGGATAGAGAGATAGAAACATCGATGATGATAGAGAAACATCATTGATTGGCTGCCTCCTGCATGCCCCCTACTGGGGATCTAGCCCACAACCTGGGCATGAGCCCTGACTGGAAATCCAACGAGTGACCTCTTGGTTCCTGGGTCAACACCGAACCACTGAGCCACACCAGCTGGGCATATTGTTTTATTGTTTTAAAGATACTGATCCAAATAGTCAATAATCCAATACTTTGTGACTTAGTGGTTTCCAGATTTGCCTCGGGGATGGATTCTTTCCTGAAGCTTTCTTGACAGTTTCTCTAGATTTATAACTTTTCATCTACCTGACTTGTTTGGAAGAAAGCAGCAAGAGGCAAAGGATGAGGGAACTAAAACTCTTAAGACATGTTTTATTTTCTCCTTTCTCAAAGAATTTGACGTAGGTTACAAAAATGTGTACAACAGAAAAGAAACAGTAAACTGATGAGTGAAGAAGGATATGGCTGAACAAATAAAGGATAGGGTAAGATTCGATGCAAAGAAATGGGAACCATACCATCCTCACAGTTCCTAGGGGGTAGGTAGTTTGTAGGGTAGGTGGCCCCAGTGTGGCCAGTAGCCAGAGTGTCCAGAGAAGTCACACCATCAGAGAGGCTAGAAATGTGAGAGACAGAGATTTTGCTAAAAACAGCCTGCCATGTGAACTTTCTCCAGGTATCTTGGTGATTTCATGTGGCTTTTAAACTCACCTGATGGTTTGGTTTTTTGGTTTGTTTTTTTAAGGGTTAATGTTTGGATCAGTATCTTTTTTCTTTTTAAGAAATTGGATACAATTTATAAAAATAATTCTGGAGTTTTTGAAAAATGTGATTGCTTTGTATATATCTGTAGACAATTACAGCAAACATGGGATAAATGTTTTAAAGAAATTGCTTTGTGTGAGTTTGTCGTATTAGAAAGTCAGTTTTGGAATATGAATATAATTATTGTAATTATTCTAAATTAAGTACACTGTTAGAAATGAAACGAATTTTGTTATCTCATAAAGAAATGCGTCAAATGCCAGTATATACAAGCATATACTGGTTACTTAAGTCAGTCCAATGAATTATGAGGTGGTTTAAGAGAGGGAGTTTTTCTTTAACATTTCTCATTTAATTAAACATAAGACATGACTTAAGAGCTTTCTGCACAAGGTCATCTAACAATATCTGACCTTTTGTTTGTTTAAGTTTCATTGCTTAAGTTAATACATCTATTCATTCTCATTTAAAATTTAATAGGACCTAGTAAGTAGGATACAACAAAATTACCTAATAAAAAGTAGTCTAGATCAGTGTCCCTTAAACTTTTTTGATTATAAAGTATTTTTCGGATTAAATGACTTGACAGATGTTTCACACATGATATAAAGTGTTTTGATAGCAAAATAAAGTTTCACAGTAATTATTTGGTGAAAGAAATAATTAAAAATTTTTAATTGAATGTGTTTATGCGACATGGTAAAAATATAAAGTTACAAATTTGTTAAAATAATGAGAGAAGCAGCATTGACACCAGGTATAATCCAAGGCAGTGGTTGATTAATGCTGCCTGTATATGCTTAGCTGTGCACCAGTGGAACATCCTACATTAATGCATTGGTGATTTCTCCAAGAAATTTCTGAAACCTTGGAGCAAGGCATACCATTTTAAAAAGCAGAACAAAGTATGGTAATAAAAACAGATGTATTTTATTTTACCTTTTTTTCTTTTCCAAAACTGTATTTTGGGATAAATATGTTGCTGATAATGATTTTCATTATAGGACAGATGTGTTTAAAGTACTAGTGTTTCAGAGAACACCGGAAAATTTTTTAATCTTTGCTAATTTGGTTAATCTTGGTTTCCAGCTCCCAGATGGCCGCATTATCAAAGTTGGGGGAGAGAGATTTGAAGCACCAGAAGCTTTATTTCAGCCTCACTTGATCAATGTTGAGGGTGTGGGTGTTGCTGAATTGCTTTTTAACACAATCCAGGCAGCTGACATTGATACCAGGTACGTTAGAAATGGTGGTTTTATGGTTATTTATCAGAAATAGGTGGAATATAAATAGTTGGAATGACCAAGCTTCCTGTTACTTCACTCATGTTTTTAAATAGATAAGACAAAGTAATTTTTTTATAGGGTGGCACTTGATGTTTACCACATTGTATCATTGTGTCTCAGAAGCCATTTTAAACTTTTTATTTTGAAATAATTTAAAACTTAAAGAAAAGTTGCTAGGATAATAGCTCATGTATTCTCAATGCAGTTTCTCATTTTACTAAAGTTCTGCATGTTCGCTTTATTTTTCCCTGTCTCTTTTTCTTGAGCTGGTTGAGAGTAGGATGAATGTGTAAATCCTCTATACTCCTTAATATTCACTTGGTAGTTTCTAAAAACAAAAATAGTCCTTCATATAGCTGCAATGTAGTTATCAAGTACAGGAGTGTCATTACTGATAAATACTTTTATCTACCATCCTTATTTCAGTTTTGTCCACTGTCCTAATAATGTCCTTTATACAGTTTTTCTTTTTTTCAGTAAAGTATCAAATGTAGGATCACATGTTGTATTTAGTTGACACGTCTCTTAGTCACCTTTTACCTGTTACCAGTCCTCCGTCTTTTATGACAGTGACATCTTTGCAAAGTATAGGCCAATTATTTTAGAGCATTTTTCTCAATTGGGTTTGGATGATTTCTCATGAATAGATTCAGGTTATGTGTTTTGGGCAAAAATACTGCATATGTATGTGATGTGTCCTTCTTAGAGCATCACATCCAGAGGTGATGTCTGTTCCTTACTGGTTATGTTAGTGTCAAGCTCTTAATGAAGTTTCCTTTTTGCTCCACTGTATAGTTATCCTGTTTTTTCTTTCCTAATTTATAAGTAATTTGTGGGAAAATACTTTGAGATTTTGTAAATCTCCTGTTCCTCACCAAACTCTGCCCTCCGCCCCTTTTAGCATGTATTGATGATTCTTGCCTAAATCCATTTTTATTGTGATTGTTGCAAGAAGGTGATTTTCTAATGCCATCCTTCCTTCTATATTTATTAGCTGGCATTCTAGCAAAAGGAAGTGCTTTTTCTTCTCCCTTTTTGTTTATTATCAGTATGGATTCATGAATTTTTTCAGTTGATTATAATTTATTACTGTCTTACCTATTTTGCTGCTCAGATTGTTCCTGATTTGGCCAATGAGAGCCCCTTCAAGCAGGCTTTTGTGTCCCTTTTTTTTCTTTTTTTAAATATATCTTTATTGATTTCAGAGAAAGGAAAGGAGAGGGAGAGACAGAGATAGAAACATCAATGATGAGAGAGTCATTGATCGAGCCCGCAACCCGGGCATGTGCCCTGACCGGGAATTGAACCCCAATCGCCTGGATCCTAGGTCGACACTCAGCCGCTGAGCCACGCCCGGGCTCTTGTGTCCTTTGATGTGCCTCATCTTTTCTGAGCATATTCTGTTTGGGGGCACAGGATATTATTCCTGGCTCATGTTAATTTTGTTTTTTGAATAGGAAGAACAATAACTACGTTAAAAAGTATATGTAGAGGTAGTACTCTCCCCACTCCCCCTCTTCCACCCTGGTCCTCTGGCCCCTATTATAGGTAAATAGTTTCATGTCTCTCCTTTTTGTGGTTCTTATTTTCTCTTACACCAAAGGTAGTGTACTAGAAATACCCTTGCGTGTTGCTGCTTCCCCTGAATATAGCCTCAGCAGTGCTATGCTGTTTCCTAGATGGTCCTCATTCTTTTTCCAGTTGCATTTTTCCCCCAGTGTATACATACCAGGGTTTATTCAGTGACAGTTGTTTAGGTAGATTCCAATATTTGTGTTGACAAATAATGCTGCAGTAATAACCTTGTGCATGCTATATCTTTGTAGTTTGGGGCATGTATATTCTGAAAATATTTCTAGAGGGGGGATTTTTTGGTTCAAAGGGTAAATGGATATAGTTGCTATTGCTCATTCCCACCAGTGATATGCGAGGGCACCTTTGTCCCCACAGCTTGTTCACAGTTTTCAGCCTTTTTACTTTTATGCCAGTCTGATGAGTGTGAAATGATACCTCACTGTAGTTTTAATTTGCATCTCTCTCAAGCATGAATTTGAACATAATTTTTCTATGTTTAGGGCTATTTTTATATCTTTTTCTGGTGAATTATCTGTTCATGGCTTTTATCTGTTGTTCTTCAGAATTTTTATGATTATTTTCCCTTAGTTTTTAAAAGTTCTTTTTATATTAGCTTTGTGTTATCTGTTGCAGATATATCTTCCTAATTTACCATTTGTCTCTTGCTTATGGTGTTTTTTAGCCATACAGAAATTTGTTTTTATCTAGTTGTATAAAAAGATTTAATCTTCACTGGTCAGTTAAGTTCAGTTGGTTAGAGCTTTGTCCTGATACGCCAAAGTTGTGGGTTCGATCCCCAGTCAGGGCACATACAAGCATCAACCAATGAATTCATATATAATAACAAATCATTGTTTCTCTCTTTCTCTCTCCCTACCTCTAAAATGAATCAGTACAATTTTCAAAAAGGTATATAATCTTTTATTGCATCTAGGGTTTGTTACAGAGAGCCCTCCTCTACACCCATGCTATTGAGGAATTCACTCAGAAGCATTTTATAAAGCAAGAGTTTGCTTACTTGCTTAATCCTGAATTAAATACCTACCTAAGTTTTGTGGGATGGCTGGGGAGTAGGATAATAATGGAAATTAATAAAAATAGCATTTGGCTTATAATGTAAGTCTATAAATCTAATGGAAGATGATAAAATCAAATCTAGACTTCATAATTATGGTAAGTTCTCATAATAGGAATTAGATAGATGCTTTTGTCCTTAGATTTAATGATCATCAATAGCAAAATTGTATTTAAAAGAGCATTCCTGTTGGTGGTGATTAAAGTTTAGGTATTTCTAAAACACTGAAGTCTAGTTCAGTACCCTTCCCACATACCTGGCAGTGGAAAGTAGCACAACTCAAAATTTTGTTTGTGTGTTCTACATATTGAAAGCATATATGTAAATACACATGGGTACGTATCACATGTAGCCATATTTCAGCTGCTTGGCTTATGCTGCACTCATGTGCATACTTCTACAATTAAAAACAAAAGCACTGTTCTTCTAGAAGCTAGAATTACAGTAGCTTGAGCCATTGAGAACCTGGGAGTAAATAAAAACATGAAGCCAGTTTGAATGAGGCCAAATGGATGTGACTCATCTTCTGAACTTTACTATGAGAAGAGTTCCTCAGACCCTCACTCAGATTATATTACTTTTACTATATATGCAGTTATTTTAGATTTGATTATTTGATATTACCGACAATATATTTAAGGAAAGAAGAGAGGATTGCTATATGAAGCAAGCATATTCATCAATCTAACCAAAAATAACAGGGACAGCCTCAAGGCAAAGGAACAAAAGGGGAAACTACAAAAGGCAAATGGAAAAATTGAAAAGCAAGAACTGGGAACATAATAGAATATGGTTATTAGAGTAAACAACCACATCTCAGAGGCTCCAGGGAAGCACTGGATAATACAGTCCAATTTTTGATAGTTTGTAATATAAACTGTGGTCATTATTAAAAGACTCAGTTACATTTGCAAGAAAGTACATCTTGTGCTTTAGAAGTATTTTCATCAAAATTGTAACATTTTATATGAAAAGAGGGTTTGTTATCAAATAACAATAGTAATAATAAACATTCAGTCCTGTGATTTACATGTTGAATTTTATTTAATTCTGCGGGCGACCACCTGAGGCTGACATAAAAACAGGAACTCCGAGATACTATTTTCCTAATCCGAAACCCCAAATGAATGCCTATTATGTCTTTCTAGGTCTGAGTTCTATAAGCACATTGTGCTTTCCGGAGGGTCTACGATGTACCCTGGGCTGCCATCACGACTGGAACGAGAGCTGAAACAGCTTTACTTAGAACGAGTGTTAAAGGGAGATGTGGAAAAACTTTCTGTAAGTATCAATCAATAATCCAGCTGTTAATATACTTTTAAAACCCTGTAAAGTAGCTTGTGAATTTGATAGCCACCAGAGGGCGCAAGAAGTCTTTTTTAAACAAATTTCTAATGTAATCAAGTATGGCCTTGAAGAGATAGGAAGAGCTAATTGGTTCAAGGTCATGAACTCTGTCCCGGAATGGTCGCACTGTGTGGTCACCTGTGTAGTCAGTGGATGGAGACGACTAGGTCCAGGACCAAACATTCTGGGTTATCCATAATGAATAGCCTAAATTGAGGTGTCTCTAAATACATGGGAAGAACCTGCTATACTGTGGAGAGATAGAAGCCCCACTTGGGTTTTTGAGTGTTTTTTGTTTTTAAAAAATTTTTTTTGAATATGTAATGAGCCTTCAGTACAACTCTTGGACCGTTTCATATTTCTGATTCTAGGTTTTTTTCTGGCCACTTCTTACATATGTCTTAGCTCTGCAATCAGATTATAAAACATATCTCCAGTTCTTTTGCATCCCCATCAACTATTATAGCTCCTGAAACAAACTTTAAGTGGTAGTTGTTGATGTGTAGAGTAGAAAGAAAATTTTAAACTAGTATGTAACAGTTAATGATTTGACATTGATATTTTTTTCTTTCTATAAACTGGGCTTGTGGGAAGTACACTGTATACTGTGCTCTCAACCAACAGTTATTTAATTCTGAATTAATCTCTGAGGCTTGTCTCACAAACTTTGATTAACTGTATTAGATAATGAGATTACACATTACAGAGGACTACATGTTAGAGACACTAATGTTACATTTCTTATATGTGATCAAAATTGGTGATATGAAATTGAGTATGGACACATGTACATTAAACAAAAGACTGAAAGGAGTCATATTGTCTAAGTCTTTCACTCGTCTGATTTTATTGAGTTATACATATGTAATTTACAGTCAGTTTCAGGTGCCTATTTATTCAGCATATATTTGTTGAACTCCTTCTGGGAGCCAAATACTGGATTTAGATGCTGGGATAAAACAATGGTGAACAAAAACCAAATCCTTGCTTTTAGTTTATGAAGAATAATATATCAGTAGTAATAAGTACTATGAAGAAAAGTAAAGTAAGGTTGGGGGTTAGGAAGTAGTAGGAGTTGGGGAGATGGTGTGTTCCTTCATGTAATGTGACCAGGGAATGTCTCTGATGAGAAAACTTTTGAGCAGAGACCTGAATGGAGTGAGAAAGTGAGCCACGTGACTTGACTATCTGGGGGAAGAACCTTCTAGGCTGGAATAGGAAGTGCAAAAGCCCCAAGTTGGTGGGAGCGGGCAGGTATGCTTGGAGCCGAGTGAGCAATGGAGAGGGCTGGGAGGTGACGGCAGACTGTTGGGATGCAGGTTTTGTTCAGCCACAGCAGAGTTAGGCTTTACTCCTAATGAAATAGAAAGTCTTGAATTTTGGGCAGATAAGTGATAGGATCTGATTTGTTTTTAAAAGATCAAGTCTGGTGTGAATAGGCTGTTGAAGGGAGGGAGAAAGGTGAATGTAGAAAGATAGGTTAGGAGGCTGCTCTGAGAGGAGGGAGGAGGCGGTAAAGGGTTATAAAATAGAGGAGGAGTGAAATGGAAAGTCTTGGAGAGTGGAAGAGAGGAGAAATAGAAATAGGATTGCTGAGCAGACTAAGGGGCTCAGTTGAGTTAAGTGATACATTTGAAGTAAGATGCTGAGTTTCTCTCCTGTGGTGTTCAGTTGCTTGAGGACAGGTGTGCCTGAGTTGCAGTTTTGCCAATGAGTCTGAGAGGGAGAGGACAGAGTCACCAAGGGTAATGTGAGGAAATGATGGAGAGGGCACACACTCAAGCAGTAAGAGCAGGCACGAGAAGAAGTCACCTGGGGATCTGGGAATGACTTGGGCAAGGAGTGGTGGGTGGAGAAGCCTGATGACGGGAGTCTCTGAGGGGCTATGGAGTTGTAGGGAGGAGGGGGAGAGAAGCAGCACAGTCGAGTAAGGATTCCTGTTACCAAATCTCAGGGGTCAGGAAGGTACCGTGAGAGAGGAACCGCAGCCAGCCGAGAAAGCCTCAAGGGCAATAGTGTCTGCAGGGTATCCTGGGCTTTGCTTAGAGCAGGGGTAGCCAGACTGCATACAGCCCTGTACTCAAAACTGCTGTTTTGTTGTGAATACACTTTTTTGTGAACACAGCCAGAGCCATTTTATATGGTGTTACTTATGGTCACATATTGTCTATAGTGGCCAGAGAGACCCGCAGAGTTTCAAGTATCTGCTGTCTGGTCCTTTACAGAAACAGTTTGCTGACCCCTGCCTAAATGTAAAACAGTAATTCGAACAATTAAAACAGTAGGTTAGCCTCAGAGTTGGTAACTGGTGTTTTTCTATCATGTATTATCAGGTCCTACAGTTCATTTATGTGATTTAAAGACAGTTTATGTGATAAAATGATATAGTTATTTTGAGTCCTTTTGCAGGGTTTGTGACACTTAATAAACTGCTACATCATTTTAAGGTTTCTCTTTTAGGTGTTAACTGATCATACAGATTGAGGCGTATCCTTGTTAGTTAATACTGGCCGTAGAGTATAAAACATTTTCCACTTGTCTTTCATTTTGGTTACTGTGTTCATTTTTTCTAATATCCCCATGATTTATTTTGATCATATTTGGTCTATTTTTATTTTGAGAATATTTTATTTGAATTTGAGACAGTAGAAAGTGAGTTTTGCTTATAAGAAAGGAGCTTCAGTCTTTCTCTGTTGCATGGGACTAGTTATAGCAGCGTTATACCTTAAAGAAACCGTAGAAGTCCTCTTATTCAAGCTCTTCATTTGACAGGTGGCTAAGTGATTGACCCATGTGTCCACCCACCAATTGATGGGAAAAGCTGCCACAAGCAGAACTCTGGTATTTGTGCTCACAGCAGGGTGATCGTGGGATTTATCGTTCAAATCAGAACAATTTGATAGGCGCTGTTACTAATGGGGTAACAGGTATAAGTCAGAACTGTTCTAAGCACACTAACTATGAGCTTGGGCAAATTACAGACTGACTGTATGCCTCAGATATCAGATCCTGCTGTCCTACTTACATCACAGGACTTTTGTGAGAATTCAACAGGAGAATATATGAAAAAGTCACTGTTGTAAAGCCCAAATGCACAGGTGACATTTTATCATCTCTTTCTTTTTTAGAAATTTAAGATCCGCATCGAAGACCCGCCCCGCAGAAAGCACATGGTATTCCTGGGTGGTGCAGTCCTCGCAGACATCATGAAAGACAAAGACAACTTCTGGATGACCCGACAGGAATACCAAGAAAAGGGCGTCCGTGTGCTGGAGAAACTTGGTGTGACTGTCCGATAAACTCGAGCTTGTTCCCATCACACCCTTAACGCTTTCTTTTTTTTCCTTTACTGCCAATCTTTGAACTTATTAAACTCCAGGACATGGAAGAGGCCTCTCTTTGCCCTTTGACTGAAAAGGTCAGGTTTTATTCTGGTATCTTAGGGAAGCTTTGTTAAATTTTTGTTAATATGGGTAAATCTGACTGGTTAATTCAACCACTTCCTTACAAACACAAGGAGAGGGCAAAGGGTCCTGTGTGCTGCTTTGTTTCTTCTAAGTAGGCATTTAGATCACTCCTGTAGGCTGCCTATTTTCACTCTACTCGCTAATGCTGCTAGTTTTAGCACACTAGGTGGTATGCCTTTATTAGCCTAAGAAAAAACTTTAACAGGAGCTTTTACGTGTTATTGGGGTGGGGGTGGTACGGGATGGGTGGGCAGCTGCTGAACCCTTTAGGGCATTTTCTCTATAGTGTGGCGCTTTCAACAGTTACTGGTGCAGATGTAAGTACCTTGAAGCTCTGTTATTGACATTTTAGGGAAATAGGCTCATAACTGAAGTGTTTTGTGTAGGGGTTAGGGAAGGTGGTCTTTTGATTTTGATATTTTGATTTTTGAACTTTTCTGCTCTGGGTACAAAAGATGAACTTTATTTACAGTACTTTGATTTGGCAGGTTTTCTTCTACTTTTATTCTGCCTGGAACTGTTTCCATATGATATAAAAAACAAGTATAAGTACAGTTTTTTATATCCTTTGGAAGTATAAAAAATATTACCATGTGGCTTAGGGATTTGGTTTTTTAAGTCAACCATGTTGTCTGGGACTAGACTCCCTAAAATCTGTCAGTGGAAAAGTAACATTTAAAAAATGCTATTGGACAAATTATAGATTTAAAAAGTGCTTAAGAGCTGGTATTTTCTAAGTGCTTCTGTTTATACCAGGAGCATTAAGATAACCCAGTGCCAAGTACCATTCTTGCAAATTATTCTTTTAGATAACTTACCAGTGCTTATTTAATAAAAGATATATATATAAATAATTACTGGCAGTAGGTTATAAATGTTGGGTAAAAATAACATTGAAATATGGGACTTGTTGCCAGATTGGTAATTTTCATTAGATTTTTTTTGTTTGTTTTGATTTGAAACCTGGAAGTGGAGTAAAATTGAACTATCTAAAATGTTGGCCAAAAAATCAAGATTTAAATTTGTATCTGTATTGAAAAATTAATCATAACGACTAAATCTCAGCCATCCTATGCTTGAAAGAAGAGTTGTTGGTAATTTGTAAATGTTAGCAGACTTTCCTGCCTACTTCAGAAAATCATATTTATGAAGTCTTTCAGAATTGTTCAGTATCTAAAAAAATACTCAGGCGTGAATTCTTTCTAAATTTGAAAAATAAAGTAATAAGAAATTGTATCGCATTAAGTACAAAATGCAGATTCTGGAAAAAAAAATGTGTTGGTGGTTTTTTTTTTTTTTTTTCATTTCAAAAATTGTTTACTAATAATGAAAGAAGAAAGCTTTGCTTTGAAAGGAGAAGCTTATTTTTCTGGGTAACTGAGATTGGAGAAATTATTGACTTTAGAATCTCTTGAGAAAACTTAAAAATCAGTTCATATGAAATAAGCAGCAAAAGGAGGTTAGTTTTCATTATGCAGCTTCTGTTAATATTAAGTATTTTTTCTCTGTTTTACCTCAATTTGAACAAATAAAAGAAGTTTGCCTGCATGCGGGACATGCCTCAGTACATGTGAATAGCCTATGAATAACATCTACTAGATTTAGGGACCTAGATGTCAGAGTACTTTGGGGTTCTAAAGTGCTCCTAAATCATATTCATGTAAACACCCCCAGCCTTTTGAGTACTGGACTCTATAAAGGACACAAATGTAGGACCAGTACCTACTAGCTGTTCATTTCAGGTAAATGGATTGACTCTTGGCCTTTGGTCATGATTTTATAACATGGGGGTAGAAAACAACAAAGAATGGGATAGGCTCTTAATAAAACAATGAAAGAGCATTTATTATCTGTCCTTTGAATGTAGAATTTGGTTTTAATTTCATATTCTAGCAAACATGACATTAAAATTGTGTATTAATATATATTGTATAATTTTAAAATTTCATTTTATAATTTTCCTATTCCAAGGTGAAATAATGCATTTAGTAATTTTGGGGGGGGGTAGTATTGTTTGATTGGAGTTGTCTTGTATGAATGAGTTTCTCAAATTAAAATTTATTCTAAGAGATCTGATTTTTAGCTCTTAAACCATTGTCATTTAAATTTCCAAAAATGATTAAAAGTCTTTCCTTTTAAAATTAGAATTGCCAGTACCTTGACCTTTGAGAAGGGTTTCTTAGAAATAGGTCCTGCGGTTAAACTTTTTTCTTTAAAACGTGGTATTGGATGTTAACTTTTACACAGTTCTGAGCACTGTTAACAATATCAGTTAAGTATTTTGAGAGATCAGTGGAAAGTTAAACATTCTGAATTTAACATGAATATACTTCTTTTTGATTTAGAAAATAAAATCAGATTTTTCAAAATAAATTTGAATTTTGTCTTTGTATTTCTCTTAATAGTTTTCCTCTTTAGTTTCATTTTCTTATTTTTATTTTCATTTTTGCTAATGCAAGATGGATCGACAACTGTAGGGCAAGTTCAGTTCAGTGTTCCATTATTTGACCAAAAAAACTGTTTCTGGTATGATTTCAAATACGTAAGAGGGGAAAACACACACAAGACTTAAGAGCAAATTACAGCTGTAGCTATATTAGAGATTTTCCCCCTCCAGCAGAGACTGTTTGGTTTCCTGGAAGATAACACTGTGGTTTTCAGAATAGTAGGAATGGTAGGTAGACTGGCATGTAATAGGCCTCTCTTCAAGGATGTTTCAGCTCATCTGCAGACTTTCAGGCATATTTTTTTAATAAACAACTAAAGAAGGGTGAAAATGTATTAAACTGACCCTTTCTTGTTTTCATACTTGCCTTTGAGGATGGGGGCTGGGGAGTGGACTCAGGAGTTTTTGTTTCTCCTTCAGGAACTTGTAAGCTTGAACCTCATTGCTCCCTTCATGGCCTGAGTTCCCCAGGACCTACCTGAGGTTTGCCTCTGGTGTCTTCTTATCCAGCCTCTCAATTGCCAAGAGTATAGTGTGAGAGCTCTCCAGATGTTACAGAGGAAGCAAGTACTGCGCACTGCATAAGGGCCTTGTAGATGGAGTGAGAGACAAGTTTTTCCTTCACCCACTGTGCAACTGAATGTGTTCATTAACTACTGATGTTAGAACCATCAGAGAAGACATCCAACTAAAGTGAACCAGAAACCCAAGGGTTGACTTTAGTATTTAGCATGCTGTCTAACCTTAGACTAATAGGCCAACTGCCCACAGTATCTGGGGTATTTGTAGGTTCGTTTTTTCCCTTCAGCTCAAATTCTGTGACCTATTAAAAGATTGAAAATGCTACATCAGGGGTAAGTAGAGGAAGCGGGGAGGATTTGGGTGAGCATATTTGTTACTAGTATTCCAATTTGTGTTATGTGCAAATGGAAAATACCTAACTGGGTAGGGGGAGTACAAATGATTTCTCACTTCTCTGGCAGAACAGGATTCCTGTCCTGTCTCATTTCTATATTCAGTTCTTTCCACCCATTAGAGAAAAAAAAGACTGGAAAAGACTGCAAATAATTTTCCTTAAAGTAGAAGAATTAGCATTTTAACTGTGTGCGTTGATCATTTGAAAGGTTTGGGTTTGGGAATTGCAGAAACTAGTCACAAGGATAATAGAATATAGTCTTCAAGTCCAGGGTAGACTCCTGAGAACAGTGCCGTTTGCTATTAACATCAAGTTGAGCTTTTGCCTTGTGAATACTTTTTTCAAGATTAGTAAAAAGAAAACTAGTGAGCTGCTTTACCCTTGAATGGGAACTTAAGAAGAGGGCCCTGACTCTCAAGAATAAGAGTTTTATTCATTAAAGATTATAAACATTTGAATTTTTGTATTTCACATTTTAATATTACAAATATTTGAAATATTAATATCAAAGGTTGACAGTTTAAGTAATTAGTTCAGGAAATTCTGAAGTTAAGACCTACCACAATAGTAATTTGATATTTTTGTTCAGTGAGTACCTTGATATTGTGCAGGGGTTGGGATTTTTTTTTAGACCCTATCATAAAATATGCACAAGAAAATTGCAAGGCCTGTCTTACTTTAAGAAACCAAAATCTAAGGATTTCCTGAGAATTCTAAGGATTAGTGAGAATTCTCCTAACTGCTCTTATATTTACATATTTCATGTCAACTTAGTATTTGAAGAGTAAGAAATTTGTGCCTTAAAATCAAGCTCAAATAAGCTGATAATATACATTTAACCCTTTGATTTGAAACCTTCAGTCTACCTATGGGGGGGGGGCGGCGTTGTTAGATCTACATAATGAAGGCTTCTGGGATTATGTTTAAGAACTGCTGGTGTGGCTCAGCGGTAGGGCATTGACCTAGGATCCAGGAGATTGTGGTTCAATTCCCTGATGTCAGGGCACATGCCCAGGTTGTGGGCTCGATACCTGATAGGGGGTGTGCAGGAGGCAGCCGACTGATGATTCTCTCTCATCATTGATGTTTCCTGTCTCCCTCCCTCTCCCTTCTTCTCTCTGAAATCAATAAAGATACATTTTAAAATGTTGAAAAAGAATGTAGGTTTAAAACCTATAGCTGTGATGACTAGGTACAGTTCAAAGGACCTAGGTGGTCAAGTAGAGAGACCATGTTGCTTATTTTGTTTTATTTAGCTGTTTAGGTGGGATTTATGTTTAGTATCCTACAGGAAAGGATGTAGCTAGAGTATAATTACCTAAAATTTTAAAATAGTCAAATTATTTGCCCCTCAGTGTCTTTATCAATGTGAAAACTAGTGAGCTGCTTTACCCTTGAATCACACAGGTTGTTGAAAAGTGTAGTTTCCTGAGCCCCACTGTGGACCTACCAAAACTTGGCTCTGGGGCCTGAGGGTTGTCCAGCTGCACTGATGGGCCTGACCCCCGCAACGCTCGCTCTCACTCCCTGCTGTAGGGTGTTAACAGGACAAGCAGGCTCCAAAGAGGGATCCACTTTGGAGCCCTGGGCCCACACCTGCGTGCCCTCGCCTCGCCCTGCTGAAAACTGGCGGAACTTCTAGCAAATAGGCTCAGCAGTGCGCTGGAACCAGCCCTGGAAACCAACTCAGGCCAGTACGCTCACCTCCACTGCGCCTCCCCAACCAACCCTCAGTGCAGGTGGGTGTGAATATCCTTTACTCAAGACGCAGACTCCTCTGGGAAGGTTAAAGCACCATCGGTAATTTACACTTTGTGTGAACTTCCAGGAAGCCCAGTGACAAACTGGCACCTAGTGAAGATTAGCGGCTCTGGCTCAGGGGAAGGTCTGCAAGTTTGGCCAAAGGAGAAGCAGAGAGCTCATTAGGGCAAGGCCACTTTTAGGAAGCCGTGTAGATGGGAGTCAGGTGCTGGAAGTGGTGAAATAACCAGAGCAAACTGCTGATGTCAAAGTCATTTCTAGAGATGCTTTCTCCTCACTTCTGACTTGCATGGTTCCCAGCTCCCTCCGCTTGAGTTAGTACAGCTCCCGCTGCAATTCAGCCCTTCGCTCGGTGGATTCAAGTGGCCTGGCCAAGGAGCCCACCTACCAGATGTAGCTTTACCTCTGGAGAGGAAATATCTGTGTTTCAATTTCTATGCAACCGACATACAAATGAACTTTGGGAGGCAACTTGGAGACCGCATATCTATATATATAGTTCTTTCAGGTTCTGATTTTTTTTTCAAGTATAAACCCAGTTGGTTCCAAAACTTGGAAGTCTGGAATTTTTCATTTCAGTTGATAGCTGCTAGAGAGAGAAAAGCTTACCCTTGCATTTGCTCTTTTAGGCAAGGGTAATTTTAGCCAGAGGTTTGAATGGGGGGAGGCAGGCGGGCATGCTGCTACTATATATTAACCAGCTTTAGGTGAGTACCTGAGCGAGAAAAATTAAGTAACCAGCTGCAGGTGAGGAGGTGGTTGGCTTTCTAGTGCGGAAGCCCTCTCGGAAGGAGCTTGCTGGAGCCTCTGGGTGAGTAGGAAGTAACTTTTATCTTGAACTGAATTCTACAGCCCATAGGAGTAGGCTTTGGAGGTCTCTCAAGGAAGTGTGTGTAGTGACGCTGGATGCATTTTTCTTGGGCGAGTCTGCGTCTCATTCCTTTTCGCCGTGAAAGCTGCTCTTAAAGTTTCCGCTTCTCTCCTGCCTCGGACGCTACCCTTAGTGAAACGCGCATCAGCTCCTTTTAGAAGCCTTGTTTGTTCTGAATGTTTGTCATGAAATCTGTCCACAGTGGAAGTGCTTAGCTGTGCACCATGACCAACAGTCGTTGCAGTGACTGCTATAAATACATTTCTTACGGCTTAAAAACGGTCTGAAAATTCCCAGGGTCCCCCAGAGTAGAATGCTGTTCCGAAGGTGGATTTTTGAGGAGTCAGCGTCTGCTGTTTGTGTTTCTCAAACACAGGTGGAGGTGGTGCTAGGAAAACTATCTCCTGACTTGAAGCTACCGTTCTTTTAAAATGGTGTGGCAATGTTGTGTTTATTTCTTTAGTTTTGGTTAACTCTTCCAATCTCAGAGAGTTGGCTGGAAATTATCTCTTTTCAATTTCGTATATGTAGCACTTTTATGCCTTCAACATTTTTTAATTTTTTTTTTTTTTGGTTCATACCATTCAAAAGGAGTTAGGATGTGCGGTGTGAGCCAACAAAAATCCTGTCAGATGTTTCAAAAACAGTAGGACAGGCTTCCTTGAGCTAAGTGAACGTTTTCTTTGCTTTGTTGCATTTGTGGGTCTCTTGAACAAATAAGTGAGGGGAAAGATTTATGTAATGAAATTCCCTTGTTTTAAGAGTCTAGTGAGGTTTGGATTTATGGAGCTGGCTCCCACCCCACCCCACCGTCGATCATTGAGACTGGAGAGCTTTTGAATATGGCCCAGTCCCCAAACCCTTTGCTGTCCCCAGTTTCCCTGAAGCAACAGGATAGTGTAAAATACGAAAGAACACCTTACCCTCTTGGAAGGCAGGATTTGCTGATGGAGCAGCTAAACCGAAAGGTAGCTTGCTCTACCAGCTGATTTTATTCAGGAGTTAGGACCAGAGGAGGGACTTTCCCACTAAATTTCAGTACAGTTACTACTTTCAAGAATAGATCCTGTTTTCTTCAGGCTCGGGGCTTGTCTGCTAAAATAATTAACTGGGAGGCAGACAGGGAAAGGACTGTATCTGCAAAGGTGGGGCAAGGCGAGGAGAGGAGATAAACCCCTCCCTTGAGTCCCAGCTGCCCACCCTGCAAGGAGCAGAGTTTGCCAAGAATATCCACACTGATTTACGGAGGAGAAATAAAACCATTCACCCAGATAGCTTGGATTTGTGACAGTATTGGTGTAAACTATTTCCGATTAGACCAAGAGAATTCTGAGCCTCTGAGGTGCTCCCTCTCCCACCTTCACCCCCTTCCTCTCCCA